CTATTGACTGTGTAATTAATTAACTCATGCTCCAAATTTCACGTGTGTCTGGTAACTTTTTCTTGCTGTTGCAGTTTCTCTTAACAGAGTTGTAAATATCTGTGTCTTATTTCAATAATTTATTTTTTATATGTATACCATTTATTTTTCTAGAATAAAATCATTATATTTTCATTAGTAACATGTGAATAGAAATAATCTAATTAATAAGCAACCTGTGTCATTATTATTTTAACAAATATTATTTGGCCATACTTTATGTTCTAAGTTATTTAGTACTGATCAGAATGGGGAAGATCAATAGTTTTCAAAATAATGCATGTAGATATCAGCCAGGATGGGACTGAGGGGGCTTCTCCCTCATGATTATGAATCAAAATTGTTTGAAACTTTAAACTTCCCGGCATGGTTCCGCTATGTAGACGATACTTTTACCCTGTTTGAAGGTAATAAAGATGATTTTAATAAAGTTCTTTCAACAATGAATTCTATTGATCCTGCTATTCAGTTCACTTTTGAACTTGAGACTTGCAATTCTCTTCCGTTTTTCGACATTCTGGTCACACGTAACACATCCAACTTCAATACTACAGTTTACCGTAAACCTTCATCGGTTTGCCTTCCACCACACTTTAAATCATGTCATCCGACTAAACAAAAGTTAGCTTCATTTTATTCCTATGTTTTCTGTGCTCTTCAAGTTTGCTCCTCCAAACTAGCCCTTGATGAAGAACTAAATTATTAAAAAGCAATAGCTATTGACAGGGGCTTTTCACCCAACATTATTAATCAAGCAGCAGTTAAAAAATTCTCATCTCAACTCACTAAAAGGCACACTCTTGTTTTAGGAGATTATAAAAAATTCTGTTGTCATTCCCTTCTTTCCATCAATTAGCTATAAAGTTGCACATATTTTGCAGAAATTTAACTTTCGGGTGGTTTATTTATTCTCCCATCAATAAAATTCCGAGTTCCATACTTAAGGACCCCATTCCGGATATGAATTCCTGGGGTATTTATAGGATTCCTTGCCAGTGTGGTTTAATTTACATTGGCCAAACTAAGAGAGCCTTAAAATTTCGCGTCAAGGAACATGAGGCATATGTTAGAAAAAAGGAAACACAGAAGTCTTCTGTTGCGCAACATTGTTGGTCCGTAAATCACACTTTCAATTTTTCTGCTGCCAAAATTATTCAAAAAACATCTTCCATTGGAGAACTGGATTTTCTAGAGGCATTTCACATTCATAAAAATCTTTCTGTTCTAGTTAACGATCCTAATTCCAATCCAAATTTGCCTTCGGCCTTTAAAGAAATTATGTTTTAGTTCTGGTTTCACCGACAGATGGCGCCACTTGCTTATTCTTGTCCAGGCTTTCTTATCTTATCTAATCATTTTTTCCTATCTTGTTCATTTGCGGTTTTGCAGCTGAAGATGGTGGTTCGGTAAAACCATCGAAACTAGTCCTGTGGAAATTTTGTAAATATAACGCTGATTTTTGTTGTTTGTCTTCTGAATTAGGTATTTATATGTCAAAGAAAGCAGAAAACTGCTGAATCTTTCATTTGTGGGAATTAGGAAAAGTAAGGGGGGAACAAACAAAATAAAAAAGAAACAACATACAAACATTTATGAATTGGTACATGCCTTCCTAGAGATGCAAATCCTAGAGAAAATGATGCATGAAAACTATGAAGGAGACTAAGTTGCTGAGAAATGGCATGCATTTTAGAAATTTCCAAAAAATGAAGAAAAGAGCAGCAATTTTTAGTAGCATATTATGATAAAAAAACAGTGACCACGTCCCAATACGGAAAAGTTTAAAGCTTAAAATGAGTAAAAAATTCAAATTAACTTTACTGAAAGTTTTATTTTTTATTATGTTTTATCACAGACTTTCTTGTTTGACTGATGTATTGCTTGTTTAAGTATAAAAATAACATCTAATAAATGAAACAGATACTCATTTTTCATTTGAAAAATTGGATTTAAAGCTAATTGAAGAGGTTGGGAAAGGAAGATTTAGATTTGTTGAAAGTATTAAAACTAGCGTGCTTAGCAATACACAAAATGGAATCAGCAATACCTTGGACTTAAAAAATGCATTATATATTAATTTTCCATGGGCAAAACTGGGCATAGATTTATGAGAAATGAATTGGCTAAGATAGCTTTTGTATCTAAAAATTAATTTAGTTAAACTGAAAAATGAAAAATAACACAGAACTGATGTGCAGATTTCTTTTCTAGATTTGTTATAATTTGCAGACATCTCAATGGCAGCATTTTTACACAAGTCTATTGAAAAAACTGAAAAAAGGCATGTTGTCATATGTGGAATTTAGACTCCAACATCCTAGCCACTGAGCTTGAGTCATTAAAACCCTTGTGTCCTAAGTGCTTTTGGATTGTTACTTTACTAATGCCTTGCATCAGAATTGAATAAATGTAGCATTCAATAAACCTGGACATCATAATAATTCTGAAGCCTGCAGAAAGTATTAAAACATGAGTGGTACATAATAGCGCTTACAACATAGATTATGAGTTTCCTGTTCAAAATGTAAGCTTCACACTAAGTAAAATTGTAAACTTTTGCATGAATTAGCCAGTATTACTACTGCAAGGCTGTAAATTCCAGTATAAGTACTGAGTTGCAATGTAGTCTACATATCTACAGTTGAACTTTTGGAATGGTATAAATAATTTATGTTGATTCTCTTCCCCTCCCCAATATTATTTTAAGCTTTTAATGTCATTTCTCTTGTGTTTAATTTTCTGAAATTTGGGTGAATTTCCTTTCTGGGCTAATACACTTCACTTTGAGAGCTTAGCACTTATATAGCTAATCTCAAACCCAGAAAAGCACCTGGATTGGATTCTTATTTCAAATCGTATGATTGAAAACCTCCCCATCAAATCTGTATTTTCAATAGTAGTGTTAATTAAATTTATGTTATTACACTGCTATTTTCGGGAAAGCTGGAAAATGTGCACTAGTAGTGCCTATTCCAAAAACTCACCACTGCTATTCTAACCCTCAGAATTACAGACCTATCAACCTCTTATTCTTGTAACTTAAGATATCTGAGTTTATATTGCCTCGAACGCCTGATTGTTGTTCTCCAGAACCAACATATTCTTATTGATGAATAGTTTGGGTTCCATGAAAAACACTGTACTATGCACCACCTGTTCCGGACTGTGGAGTACATTTACAAAAGCTTCGCAATAAAATGCTTACAGGCGTTTTTTTTTTTTTTTTTTTGAAGACATAGCTGAAGGCATTTGAAGGGACTTGGCATATAGGAATTATAATCAAGCTCATATGACTTGATTTTCCAGCTCATTTAATTCATGTCATTAACTCATATCTCAGTAATAGATCTTTTTCAGTACGAGTTGGTTCTGTCATTTCAAAATCCTGTCCAATCCCCAGTGGTGTTCCACAGGGTTCATTATTAAGTCCTTATATTTTTAGTATCTTTATTAATGACATAACAAAATCATCTGGTGTCACTCTCGCATTTTATGCGAATGACACTGCTATCCTCGTTCAACACTCACGACTGGATTTCCTGGTCCCGAAAATTCAGAGTTATCTCTCTAGTCTTGAGCTCTGACGTATTACCTGGAAAATCAAAGTTAATGTCTCTAAATGTGCTGCTCTAAGTTTTTCAAGATCTCCACTCCTGTGCCTTACCATTAATTTCTTCAACGATTAAGTTCCGTGGTGTAATTCTTATAAATACCTTGGTGTAACCCTGGATTCCAAATTAATCTGGCATCTTCGCATTGAGAATGGTAAAAAAAAAAAAAAAAGCGAAGACAGTCAGATCCCAACTCAAGAAAGCTCTCGTGAATTAAACAGAAAGCTCTTCTCTTTACTGTAATTATCAAACCTGTGTTTTTGTACGCTTGTACCCTCTGGGGACAGCAGCCAAGACACATATTATGAAACTCTGAACCTTTCAAAGTAAAACCCTGCATTTTACTCTGTCCTTAACGCATCATGGTTTATTGATAATGATTGATTCATTTGGACCTAAACATTAAACCTATTGATGTCTTAATTAAAAAACTTTGTCAGAATTTATTTACCTAAACTGAAGAGATTGATAATCATGCACTGCAGACTCTACGTGCTTACAATTAGGTTCATTCCAAGCTCAGTCGTGTGACTACGTTCTGTGATTGAATGGGAGTTCAGCATCTTTCCACTGTCTAAAAAGAGAGGTTCTACCCTCCATTATCAATCCAGCTACGACACCGCACAGGACGGATGCTCTTTTTAAAAGCTGTTGATTCTTCTCACTAAGAAATGCTATCACATCAACCTCAACTGCCACATATGATCCTCAAGCATTATTATCAATCTGTTATATTTATTCATCACATTTTTTCCCGCAGATTAAAATCTGTCTACAGTTTCTTCCCCACAATATAGTATTGCATTGCTAGATTATGATTTTACATCTATGTGACCAAGGAGCCTATTACTCTTAGTCGCTTTTCTATTCATTTTTACCTATATGTTGTGTTTATGTTATGTTTCAAAAATTTAAATTAAATTAAAAAAAAAAAAAAAAAAAAAACCCTCTTTTCTCCCTCTCAGTGGTTAGCATGTTAGACTTGAGTCCGAAAGATCCCGAGATCAAATCCCGCTAATCGCTGTTAATTTTCTAAAACTTTTAATATTCTTAAAAGTTTTTCTGTCTTCTCCTTAAACTTCCTTAAGTCAAGTTGACTTTCTTAATGACACTTAGGTATCCTTTCCCAAATCTGCTCACTGTTTAAATTTTATGATGTGGAGCTACAGGGTCTTATACCCTAGACACATATACTTAAACTTGGATCCCTTTTCTGGGCTTATTTCTTTGGAATCTGTCTTATTCAAAAAAGAAAATTTTAGTTACTTAAAATATGGGTTATTTGTTTATAAATTGTGCAAGTATTTTAGTGAATGCATTTTATTGCAATATCTTTTCCTTTCTTCTTAGTTATTCAAGCTTTAGGAGAACAGCTAAAAGTAAAACAACAAGTAATTGCAACAGCTACCGTGTATTTTAAAAGATTCTTTGTTAGGTAAGTGTTCTTTTTTCTTTAATCAGACTATTTGGAAATAAATTGTGAATTAATTCTGTGATTTAATGCTAATTTAAAAACCAAATGAGCAAGATAATTTTGACCTGATCCAATTCACTGTAACTTCCATATCAAGCAATATGGCATGACGCTGAGTATATCTGTCCTTAAATTTAAATGTCAAAGAATTGTTGATCACGAGATATTAACAAGCTCACAAATTATCCTCATTTGTTGTGCACTTGACTGAACTTTCAAATATTAAGCAAAGAGAGAAGAGAGAATAGAAAACATTGATAACTAAGACTGTCGCTATATTACTTTCAGAATTTATGTTGATGTTAGTTGCGTTATTTTAAAAAAAGTGTTTGGTATGCTCGAAAGGTACTGTAACACAAAGTCTTTACACTCTATCACTGTATCTGTGTGCCATCTTTGTAAGCAAACCATATAATAAAACGGAAGACCTTTTAAATGTGAACTTGAAACTAGTTTGACAGGAAAAAATAGAGAAAAATCTGCATATTCATAAAGAGAAATATCAGCTAAAATTAACTACAAAATCTAAATAAAAAAATAAGTAACTGTGCAATTTAAATATGAAGGGTTTTGATTCAGAAAGATGGACTTTCTGATAAAATATAGCAACATTTTAAAATTCAGGAAATTACAAAACAGCAATTTGGAGCTGGAATATATAGTTCAATCAAGTTCTCCCTCATTTATTATTTTCTGTGGCATTGCTATAATTCTTAGAATTGATGTCCAGGTGTCTAGTAGGTGAAAGGAGCATTAAGCCTGATACAGATCACAGTACACCAAAACACTTCATAGTTTCAAAACCAATTAAGATTATGCAGACAGACATACAGCAAGCAATAGTCAAGCAAATTTTAGCAGAAGCTTGCCAAACCATGCTTTACTTTAGTAAAGAGCAACAAATAGTAAGTGTGCATTCTGCAAGTGAATTTCATGTGTAAATTTGCAAAGTAATTAGCCCTGATATTATCCTGTTTACCACTGCTGCTAAATTTTTGTTTCTGTTCATCCCTTTTTTTAAGTCCAGGGTGATTTGGTGAAACTTTTGAGTAAGAAACTAAGAATTAATCCACATGTATTACCAATATGTATGAAGCCTTCCATTCATCCAAAATTTTTAACTGTTCTGAGCCAACAGGTAATCCTAAACAGCCAAAGATCATTTGTGTCCCGCATTTTGGCTGAAATTTATATGCCACTTGTAAAAAAAAATTGATTTTACTATGAGTCTCCAAAAATCTATCACCCCTGGAAGGCCAGTTCTATATTCTGGCATTCTACTCGTCCAATTTACAAAATTCAAGTTGCATTTTTCAAGTCTCGAGAGCACAACTTAGACTATATATATTAGATTTATATATATTGTTGTTCTAATACAGTACAAAGTCTTTAATCCAGAATGATCCATAATCTGGACCTCAAAGCTACAAACTTTCTGCGCATGCGTATAATACGTTTATGCATGCGCATAATACGTTTATGCATGCGCCTTTAATGTATTACGGGCAGTATAAGCTAGGCTAAAATTATCTAATTATCTATTTCAGTTAATGTTGCAGATTGCATTTTTCCTTAATCTTCTAATTGGATACGGCTTATTATTTTTTGCAGACTGTTAGAGCAGTTTTATAAAAGTAAGCTTGAACTTTCGATTATGTCAAATAGAATTTCCGATGCTGGAGCTGCCAAAGGATCTACAAAAGCGAAAGCATGTTTTGATGTACCGCTTCCGATAGCGAAGAAAGTGACAAAGAGGTTATTGAAAATGAAAAAATTTCAATTCACAAGTTAGTCGGTATTCTCAACACAGCAATTACAGGACTTGAACAGTGAAACTTTGCAACTGAACAAGAAATTATGTCTGTTTATAGAATTAAAGAGAAAGTATTAGCAGAAAAAAAGAAGCAACTTAAACAACTTACATTGAAAGAAATGTTTAATAAAGTAAACAAATAAATATTAGGCCTTTTTTTTTGGTAAATTTTGATACCCTTTAGATCATAACTGCTCTTTATTTCATAAATTAAGGTTTCATATTTTTAATTTTATAATTTCTGCATGCCATCTTACCAGATTTAAATTGATGATTGATAATCCGGATTCGCGAAAGTCCGGATTAAAGACTTTGTACTGTATGCATATTTTTACACGAAAACAGACTTTTTCTGAATGGTATGAAATTATGGATTGACCCTCTGGCTGCTCATCCTGCTATTTGTGATTTTTCTGATGTGCACACTTTATTTTTTACTGTTTTATCGCGTTCAGTCGCAGCATTAGTTCCTGGTAAGGACAGCACATATTCCAAAATTTTTAGTGCATTATTGTATGGAACATGGTTTGTTTTAAAATGATGAAATATTTCTAACCATTTGTTCTCTACTATGATTTTTTTTCTGATGCCCAAAATTTAACCTTTCCTTATCAATATATTTTTAATAATGATATTTCATTAAAAGGATCATTTTTGGAAATATTACTATATAGGAAATTTTGATTAATATGATCGAATGATTTTGGTACATCATTCCAATTAAGTTCTTGTTTTAATGTAACCCAATGAAAATTTTCAATATCATTGTAATGTACCGTCCATTCTTCTAAATAATCTATGCTGTTACTATAGAACATTTTATGTGATTCAAGATATCTGCACGATTTATTGCACCTTGTTCTTAGTTAACAGAAGAAAATTATTTTCTAACCGCTATTGACAATTAAATTTTAAATTATTAACTTCATTTTCTACTTCGATACCCGCAAATTTTGTCACCTTCAATAAGTTTTATAGCGTTTTGAAAAAGAGCTGCTTGACTGTGTACAAACTCTAGCCATATTTTTTAAGATTCTCTTTCAAAAAATTCTTCTAAAATTCTAGGACATTTATCCTGTGGTAGAAAGTAGGATTTCAAAGCGTCGTATATTTTCAAAATTCTTTCAACAGCTGGCAAGAGAGCTAACCAGCTCGTTTTACTGTATCCACGTATTTTCCGATATTCGACTTCTGCAGTTTCACAAAATTCTTTAAGCATTTCTGCATGCATGGTATATACATAGAAATAAGAATATATTTTAATAACAATATTTTCCACATCTGCAGGCAACAAATCAGCAGCTGTTTGAATGGCGTTATGTATATTATATGCTCAACCAACACCAATAATGTTTTGATCAAGGTTTTTGTTTAATTTATAAAAGATATTATTTGTACCTCTTCTCGCTTTTCCTCCAAAATTTGTGTTCGTTATCTGCACAATATGCAGTCATTTTATGTTTCAAATAGCTTTTTCCAAAATATCAATAATGGAACTGAAAATCATTTCAGAAGCTTCGCTGGGCAAAGAAACGAAATCTAAAACTATAAATTTTTATGTCAGTTTCCAAATCAAAAAATGTAATAATGATTGCAAATAAAAATATATTCTTATAATTAGATGCGTCATAATATATGGATATAAAATTAATTTTTTCTAGATTTTTCTTTAATTCTGAAAATACATATGGGGATATCACATTACACACAATTGCCTCAGATTTTGTTCTGGCATAGGCAAATTTTGTGTTGAATATCTTCTGGGCAATTTGTGATGTACAGTCCATAGGTCTGAAGGAATGATTGTGATTAATGGCATGAAAAGGCATAAGACCTACTGCTAATGGTAATTTCTTTTCTTTGTCTCCATAAGTTCTTTCTCGAAAAAATTTCTGTATTTTGGAGGAAGCTGCAGCAGTATTTAAATATCTTTTGTGTTTCTGTGTTTCCAAGTGCTTTGAAATATCATTCTTTCCGCCGTGCGAAATAGAAAATTCACCATTACATTTCTCACATTTACCATGTAATCGCTTTTGGTTTTTTTAATAAAAGGAAATTAACATCTTAGAGCATCGTTGAATTTGCATCCTCTTTTCTATGTTAAAAATCTAAAAAAAATTTTTAAGTTATATTATGAATTGTTAAATACATATTGCTTAAAAAACAGTTAAGTAGGTACATAATTACATGAACATATTTTATGGTTAGTTTTTATAAATTAAATTAGGTCGATTGTTATAAGGTAACTATAGTTTAAAAATTATTTTAATTTTAATATTTCTTTCTAAATAATAACAATGCTAACTTGTATTATTTTTCCTCTGAATTTACCGTAACATAAGTCGTGTAAGTGTCAGTTTTAAGGCTGGCGCTAGACTTTGCCGCCTCTATAAAATATAAATAATACAAGCAATGTCTGTTAAATTCAAGAAAATATTTGTATTTATGAAATAAATTACTTACCTAAATTATCTGAATTTACTCATTTGTTGACAACACTTGTTAACTAGCACTAGTACGATATGAATCATCTGAGAGACAGTTACAAAATGTTTTCATCATTGCCAATGCCATGCCATTGTTCATTAAGTCCAAGCAATGATGGTCGAATTCTAACTGATCAACAATGTGAACTTGGATGAGCAGTTCTCGACAATCCGCTCTCAACAATTATTTGTTATTATTAAAGTTTAACATAATTAACAAAAATAATACATTACTCATATCCTGGCTACCAAAAACCGTATATTAGGGAGAACCTTCCCATTCTCCCTCCCGTTTTCTAGCTTGTCATGCTTCCAGAAATCAGGACTTTTTTTAAATGTCATGGGTCGCTGGACAAATTTTTAAAAATCGGGATTGTCCCGCCAAAAGCAGGACGTCTGGTCACCTTAGTTAACAGTGTATGGGAGAAAAGGAAAGGTGCTTTATTGAAGAAGAGTTCTCTTGTGCTAGATGAGTTGAGTAGTCATTTGAAAAATTCTGTGAAAGAGAAATGTGATAGGGAAATACAGAGCTTGCTGTTATTCTGGGAGGACTTACTTCACAATTACAACCTCTTGATGTGTCAATAAGTAAACCATTTAAAGTCTGTATGAGAGAGGAATAGTACAAATGGATAAATGGATGAAACCCAATATTAATTTAT